AATGGGAGGAGGTGCAGGGAATGTGCGGTCCCTCCCTTTGCAAGCGGCACATATGTGCCCCTGTCGGTGATGAGACCACAGCGGGGAGAGCATACGTGAGCACAGTGTCCCGCTTTCCTCCGCTTCACAGACCACCTCCTCCCGGATAAAAGGACGACTCTGTGGGCCTCTCTCCGGACTCCTGCCTCTCCTGGGACGCGTGAGGGGCTCCGCGGGCATTGGCCAGGGGCTGGAGGCAGCCTCTCACTCTCTCTCTCTCTCCCCCCTCCCCTGCTCCAGATGGAAACAGTCAAGCACGGAGTCGATCAGAAGCTGGTGGACGGTCGGGAGAAACTGCACCAGATGTGGCTCAGCTGGAACCAGAAGGAGCTCCGGGGCACCGAGGAGAACCCAGCCAAACCGGAGGTACCAACGTGGGGTGCCTGTGGGATCCTTAGGGCCCTGACTTCCTTCCTTCTCCGCGCCTCTGTCGGATGGACCTACCTGCTTGGAAGGCTTTCCGCAGCCTCTCCAGCCATTAACCACCTTTAGGACGTGACGGCACCTCTTCCAGGAAGCCCACCTTGATTTCCTCCTTTAGGTGTGGGTGTTCCTTTGAACTGCAGGACACTTGTGACGTCTCTCAACCTGCTGAACTCTAAACCCTGCCGTGTTTCCCTTCCCCTGTGTCCCAGCGCCAATGTGTCCACTACGAATGGGGGGGCGTCACTCAGCTGCGAGCAGGAGTGAGGCGCCCCCACCGGCCGCCCCACAGACGGGCCCTGAACACCCGACGCTCAGGGAGGGAACCAGACACAAGAGGCCCCACGGGGTGTGAGTCCACGTGTGTGAAACGCCCCGAACAGGCTCATCCACAGACGGGAAGGGGTTCAAGGCTGTCAGAGGCTTGGGGAGGGGGTCAGGATGGACTGCTTCATGGGGAGGAGCCTTCTTTGGTGGGTGATGGAATGTTCTGGAGTTCGAGGCAGTGGTTGCACAACCTTGTGAATGTACTAACAACCACGGAACTATATACTTAAAAGGGTGAATTTTCTGGTCCGTGAGTTACATACGTCTCTAAAAGAAATTGAGTTGCTACATAAAGCACATAGTAAACCCTTCAAAAATGGCATTTGTGAAGATATCACCTGCTGTCTCTGCAGGTGCAAAATTGTTAGCATTCAGACCCAACTACATCCGCCTCCCTCTCCCTTCTCCCCCACCGCTGACCGTGGCAACCTCGAGATGTGGGTGTTGACTCTGGTCGGCACCTCCCTGTCAGGGTCAAGTCCCGAGCGAGCGCTCTGATGGCGGGTTGCGGGCAAAGTCCTGCCTCCCAGCCTGCTCTCTTCCCCCCCTGTGGTGGGGGTGGGGTGTTAAGGTCCCGATGCACGCATTTACACTTCCGTCTCCCCCACCACACAGCTCCTGCCTGGAAAGTTCTTCCAGACGTCCTCTTAAAAAAAACCTGAAAAACGTCTTGAGATACAAA